GCTACGAGCCGATGATGAATTATCACGAATATCACTTCAATAGATGAATCTCGCAGGGGTAGCGGGAGCAATTGTTTTCTGTATAAGCTCTTTATTATGCTTTACAGCGTTCGGTTTACGAACGAAGCCGGAGATCAAACCGTTCATTAAACTGCGGTTAACCTAGGTCAAACCGCGGTCTCATAAAGGTTGAGACTTGAGGTCACACCGAGGTAGAACCGCGGTGAGACGGAGGTTAAACCTCGGCATAACTCCATCTGACAGACATTTCTTAAGATTTTTTCGATTTGGTTATTGTGTTGTTCTTCTCAGCTGTTCATAACATTTCGTTCCGAAGCGAACGGCCACTGCGAAGGTATTTTTTCCCTTGCGGTCGTCTGCGGTTTTTATCGGTCCACCGCAACCAAATTGGCACGGCAGTGTTAGGTTTATAGCTTTTCACGAAGGCCCTAATTTCCGTCGTATAACATCAGAAATCGTTATTTTGCTTGTGAGACCGTCGATCGCTGCTCTCACAGGCATCTGCATGTTGTGGTGACTTCAACGGCGTTAGCGGTAATTTTTTCCCTAAGGCTAAACAGCTAGAACATCAAAGCGGTACTACATAAAGAAGCTTGTTTTAGCTTGCATTCACACTGACGCACTGAGCGCCAAACTTGTTCATCGATCTTGCTGTCTATTTGGGATCAGAGAAGACAACATTATACAGGTATAAAAAGGTTGAAGTATTTCCCGAAGTATACAGGTTTATTTACCTAGCTGATACTGCCGACTAAGGAGCGAGCCTAAAGTTCAGTCGTCAGATCTAAGTTTGTTACGTCGTTAAATTCGGTTATATCACGTAGTCACATCTGCCTGCATTTGCAGAGACACTTTCAAAATTACGAGTTAAGAGCTTCTCATTATTCTGTGGGCAACACAGCGCAGCATAGCATAATTATATAATACTATTGTGTGACTTAAATTAATGCGCATTCTTCTCATATTGTTACAGGATGAGAACGAAAGAAAGCAAGAATGAAGAAATTTGGATACGGGGGAATAAATAACAAGGGGAATGTAGATTGCTTTATGGTCTACTCTAGTTTGCTATCGGTGTATTAGTACTACTCTTTTTTCTTATTATAGACATTAATAAATGCTTTCATATCACCATTTGTAGTCCTTCTTACACCCATATGCTCGTTGCTGAGCCATGGTGAGCGCGGTATTAACGCAGTATCGGTGTGATACAGTTCGTTGGAACATTGTATTGTTTATCTCATATATCTGTGTATTAAGATACATATCGCGAATTATCTTGATTCTATAATAAGGCCGTTTTGTGCCATCTTATACATATATATAAGATGTCATCCCATAACAGCTAGGTTCCTTCAATTGTGGGCTTACGTCATCTGTTTGAGTCTGTTCAAAGCCTTTGCATTGAGTCATTGTAATAGCAATCTTCAACGTACCTCTCCTACAACGTCAGTGTTGAAATTGGTAAGATGAGACCAGACAACAGAGTTAAGTACTTCCGTCACAATATATGCGCTGCAGTTAATGCACTATTGAACATTGTGGAACATGACTTGTATGAAGATTAAAGCTGTGCGGACTAATGCCATCCAAGTGCATTTCGAGGGGGGCAGGCGCTTTTTTCTAAAGATTTGAGAGGGTTTAATGTGCGTTTCCCTAATATTAAATTAAAACTATAATTATTGATTTGTGTACAAAATACAGATTTCCCTTAAACTCGAGAAACATGCACTCAAGGATGCAAGATTGCATACTACAGATGACACATGATGCGCAGTTTAAAAAGATATCTAAATCTATCTGTTTGTTAAAAAGATCTGGTAAAATTCTATAACTCATTTTAGGTTACGGAATTTTACTTATTGCTCAAATGTTTGGATAAGTACTTTTGTTTACGCCATCAGACAAAACTCGCAGCCGTTGGACTTTGGAGTACGAAATTTGCCAAAAAACTCGTATTCGAAAGCTCGGCGACTACGAGTTTTGACTGATGGCGTATGCAAACAACACTTGAGAATGACGAATCTCTTGCTCGTAGTCGTGTCAGATGAGTGACGGCTACGAGCCGATGACGAATTATCACGAATATCACTTCAATATAGATGAATCTGGTTGTGGTAGCGGGAGCAATTGTTTTCTGTAAAAGCTCTTTATTATGTTTTATAGCGTTAGGTTTACGAACCCTCTCACTTCAAGTCTATAAATGACGATTATATAGTCTGCCTAACTAAAACCAATACCGCAATGGTTGCTAACTAATACGCTTCACTCTGAGGTTCATTCTAGAATTACGAGGAGCATAATGATTTACACTTGCCACTTTGTCGCCTTGTTACGGGACAGCGATCGTTCAGTTTTATAGGGGCTAAATTATGGAACTCATGGAAGCCGGAGATCAAATCCGAACGGTCATTAGTGTCTTTTAAATATAAACTTTACAAACACTTCTTAACTTCTTAAATTATATATATTCTAGAATTTAGAGATTGTAAATATATTCATGTTGTATTGTATCACTGAAAGACCCTTTCAAGGTGATATGTAATAAAGCCGGTTTATATATAGTTTTATAGTTTATCAGCCATGTTTAGGTTATACGCCCAATCGCCCCAATTAAATATTTGCTTTGATTTTGTATTTGTGACCTGAGTACGCATAAAGTTTGGAACGGGTATTTATTTTTGCTATGCCGTGCATGCTAATAAATTGAGCTTAGAGTATAGAGTGCTATATACACCGCAGTTAACCTAGGTCAAACCTCGGCCTCATAAAGCCGGTTTTCCACTACCGATATTTTTCGCGCGAAGCGACTTTATTCCTTTGTATTTGAACAATTTGTTCCAGATGGTTGCAGTTGAGAGCTCTGAAACAAAAGTAAAATATCGCTTCGCGTGAAAAATATCGCTAGTGGAAAAACGGCTTAAAGGTTGAGGTCAGACCGAGGCCGAACCGCGGTGAGACAGAGGTTAAACCTCGGCATAACTCGATCTAGTTGACAGACATTTCTTAAGATTTTTTCGATTTGGTTATTTGGTTCTTCTCAGCTTTTTCATAACATTTCTTCGGAAGCGAACGGCCACTGCGAAGATATTTTTTCCCTTGCGGTCGTTCGTGGTTTCTATCCGTCCACCGCAACCGAATCGCGACGACAGTGTTAAAGGCCTTAATTTCCGTCGTATAACATCAGAAATCGTTCTTTTCCTGGTAAGATAAGCGCTGTTTCCTACCGATCGCTGGTCTCACAGGCATCTGCATGCTGTGGTGACGTCAACGGCGTTAGCGGTAATTTTTTCCCTAAACAGGTAGAGTATCAAAGCGATACTACATAAAGAAGCTTGTTTTCGCTTGCATTCACACTGACGCACTGAGCGCCAAACTTGTTCATCTTGCTGTTTATTTGGGATCAGACAAGGTCGAAAGCATTATAAAGGTAGAAAAAGGTTGAAAGTTCTCGCTCAATTAAATGTAGCTATGTATATCAAGGGTGTATTCACTAAAGCGATCCACAGTTGAATATAAATATATGTGTTGTTTTTCTCGTTTCGTCTCATGTTTTATTTGTTGTGGTAAAATTTCTACGAACTGTTTACAGGTAAAATTAACTGCTGTGCTGTTGCTGTTGAATTAAAGTAAAACAAACCATGAAAGCAGGTATTTATTCGGATCTTATCGGCACATGATTTTTCCTCACATCGCTGTAATATTGAATTTTAGGTTTAGCCTGTTTAGACTTGCAAGCTGCGCCGTAATCTTCATGATCGGGTGTTATGTTCTGATTACAATCTATATAAGACGTTGACGTCAGAAAATTTTTGCTTTGTTAATAATAATTATTAATTTTATATTCTCAGGTCTCGTTTTTGTTCTGGCGCTAACCACAGTTTATTTGCTGTCAAATTCGCTTGTTGCGTCAAAACCAGGTATGTAAGTCTTTGGGGATAAATAAGTTCAGGCGGGATCGAATTCTCCATATTAAGATTAATGCCAACAAATTGTTTTAAAAGAGCTATAAAACATCAAGAATGTAGTTTTTAGAATACAGGCAGACAGGCACATTTCGTTTTAGCTCTATATATCTTTAATGGAATATGTAACATACAGTATCACTAGTATAATGTTGCTAATAAGATGTACATGCATAGACGGAACAACTCACATATAGCAATACTCAAAAATTTAACTGAGGAACACGTGAATTATTACTGAGAAAGACAACAACCCCTCGCAAATTTCAAACGAAGCAAAAATTTCCAAAGCTACCACACCTAATCACAGGGCTAAGGCTTGTAAGCTTAAAATTGTGTAATTCGTTGACAATTAAAATAAAAACAATCGCCATATTGTATTTCTCGACTTAAGAGACACTGAACTATAAGTAATCAACTGAAAATTGAGCCGTTACCGGCCTGCACTTCTAGCTATGTTAAGTTGTTAATTATAATATTTTTCTTCTTTCTAGAATTTTGCTATCTTAAACCAGACCCTGGTCCCTGCAATGGCTACTTCCCACGATACTACTCCGATCCCGATTCAAGCAGTTGAAGGATATTTATATATGGCGGCTGTCTCGGAAACGCCAACAACTTTGAAACTCTTTCTGAATGTTTATTTACGTGTGGCTAGTTAAAGGTTTGTCTATATAAGTAAAAAATATTATTAAGAAAAAAGAGATTGGCAAAACTCAACAGTTGAAGATCATTTAAATAGCATTGCCCGCTATTTCTTATTGTTTTTATTAAAATATAAACAATAAATATATATACATTACTTCATGGTTGGCGAGTGCGTACGATTTTTATATGCACGAGTTGCGAAGGATCGCAACTCGTGCATCGGGAATGACGACTGTCATTCCCAGTCGTTCCCAACTTGGCCTTGTAGCTCGGACGGTGGAGCATCGTTCTGGAAGTGCGAAGGTCGCGGGTTCGATTCCCACCGCGGTCAAGTAGAATTTTCTGCTTGCCCGGTTGGTTATACTTGTGCAGAAGAACAAATACACCTTACATATATATATATATATAATATATATATATATATATATATAATATATATATATATATATATATATATATATATATATATATATATATATATATATATATATATACAGTAGGAGGCAAAAGTTTGAGTCCAGTGACTGTATTTCTTTGTTTCAGCAGCATATATTAATATTCTACAGAAAACCTTACCGATAAGTGAACTAGAAAAAAGTAAACAAGTAAACAGAAAAATACATGCTGTACAACAACTATGAGATGTTATGATATTCATTTTTACGTATTTTAATGTGCAAACATGCATTTACATGTCATTGCTTAGTTCCCTCTTTTTTGCTCTTGAAATGACCTTTATTCTTGCTCGCATAGATTCCATAGGTTTTTTAATGTCACACGTTCAATACCTTGCCAGCATTCGTTGACCACTTGCCTCAAGTCAGCCTGGCTGGCGGGTCTGTGCCTCGCCCTCTTCCGGTTAAAACGGTTCTACAAGTGCTCCATAGGTTTTAGATCTGGAATATGAGGTGGAAAGCCATGACAACGAGATCACCAGAATGAGTTTGCTTCTAAACGATTTCTGGCACATAGAAGATGTGCATGTGCTTAGGGTGATTATCATGTAGTTAGACGTGCGATCATCTTTTGTACCAGATGAAATTCCATGTCCTTGAAGAATTGGATGATACTTTTCTTTAATTAGGATCCTATTATATCTTTCAATATTGCCAAACCGAGCATGACCAAAGCAGCTAAAAGTTTGCTTGAGTAGGATTTAGTTTCTTCGAACCTCTCCAAGGTTAGTTGCATACCACCTTTTTAAATTCTCACTTCTTCTGCTATCTTACGAGGAAAGAATCCTTCAATACTTAATGGAACTATTTGTCCTTGTGCACCATCACTTTGCCCTTTTTCCTACCCATCTTGGGCAGTGTAAAGGAATGAGAACTTTATTTTGTCATAATTTAGATCATTAGGACCAAAACAGTGTGCAATTAATATAGTTTACAGTACTGAAACACTAGCACGCATGTCTTAACTCCAATACGCTGCCAGGATTTAATACTGGAATTCTACAACGACTGGACTCAAACTTTTGCCTCCTACTGTATATATATATATATATATATTAATATATATATATATATATATATATATATATATATATATATATATATACATATTATATACAGTAGGGGGCAAAAGTTTGAGTCCAGTCGTTGTAGAATTCCAGTATTACATTCTGGCAGCGTATTCGAGTTAAGACATGCATGCTAGTATTTCAGTACTGTAAACCATATTAATTGCACACTGTTTTGGTCCTAATGATCTAAATTATAACAAAATAAAGTTTTATTCCTTTACACTGACCAACATGGGTGGGAAAAAGGGCGAAGTGATGGCGCACAAGGACGAATAGTTGCATTAAGTATTGAAGGATTCTTTCCTCGTAAGATCGCAGAAAAAGTGAGAATTTCAAAAGGTGGTATGCAACTAACCTTCGAGACGTTCGAAGAAACTAAATCCTACTCAAGCAAACTTTTAGCTGCTTCGGTCATGCTGAGTTTGGCAATATTGAAAGATATAATAGGATCCTATAATTAAAGAAAAGTATCATCCAATTCTTCAAGGACATGCATTTCATCTGGTACAAAGTTGATCTCGCGTCTAACTACATGATAATCACCCTGAGCACGTGCACATCTTCCATGTGCCAGAAATCTTTTAGAAGCAAACTCGTTCTGGGGATCTCGTTCTCATGGCTTTCCATCTCAAATTCCAGATCTAAAACTTATGGAACACTTGTAGGACCGTTTTAACCGGAAAAGGGCGAGGCATAGACCCACCAGCCAGGATGACTTGAAAAAACACGATCGCAATGCCGTTGCTTCCAAACGTAATGTTAGGAACAGCTGAGAACGACAACACGATAATCAAATCGAAAACATCTTAAAAATGTCTGTTAGACTGATTTTCGGCAGAGGTTCGACCTCGGTCTCACGGCGGTTTGATCTCAGTCTGACCTCGGTTCAACCGCGATCAGATTAGGTTATTTCTGGACAGTATATATTTCCCGAAGTATACAGGTTTATTACCTAGCTAATACTGCCAGACTAAGGAGCGAGCCTAAAGGTCAATCCTCCGATCTAAGTTTGTTAGCTCGTTAAATTCGGTTATATCACGTAGTCACATCTGCCTGCGTTTGCAGAGACACTTTCAAAATTACGAGTTAAGAGCTTCTCATTATTCTGTGGGCAGCACAGCGCAGCATAGCATAATTATATAATACTATTGTGTGACCTAAATTAATGCGCATTCTTTTCATATATTGTTACAGGATGAGAACGAAAGAAAGCGAGAATGAAGAAATTTTGATACGGGGGAATAACAGGGGGAATGTAGTTTGCTTTATTGGTCTACTCTAGTTTGCTATCGGTGTATTAGTACTACTCTTCTTTCTTATTATAATATAATAAAAAATGCTTTCACATCACCATTTGTAGTCCTTCTTACACCCATATGCTCGTTGCTGAGCCATGATGAGCGCGGTATTAACGCAGTATCGGTATGATACTGCTCGTTCGAACATTGTATTGTTTATCTCATATATCTGTGTATTAAGATACATATCGCGAATTATCTTGATTTTATAATAAGGCCGTTTTGTGCCATCTTATACATATAAGATGTCATCCCATAACAGGTTCCTTCAATTGTGGGCTTACGGCACCTCTTTGAGTCTGTTCCAAGCCTTTGCATTGAGTCATTATAATAGCATTCTTCAACCTTTCCTCCGACGTCAGTGTTGAAATTGGTAAGATACCAGACCTGACAACAGAGTTAAGTACTTCCGTCACAACATTTGAGCTGCAGTTAATGCACTATTGAACATTGTGGGACATGACTTCTATGAAGATTAAAGGTGTGCGGACTAATGCCATCAAAGTGCATTTCCATGGGGATAACATCAGAAATCGTTCTTTTGCTTGTGAGATAAGCGCTGTTTCCCGTCGATCGCTGGTCTCACAGGCATCTGCTTGCTGTGATGACGTCAACGGCGTTAGCGGTAATTTTTTCCCTAAGCAGCTAGAATATCAAAGCGATACTACATAAAGAAGCTTGTTTTAGCTTCCATTCACACTGACGCACTGAGCGCCAAACTTGTTCATCTTGCTGTCTATTTGGAATGAGAGAAGACAACATTATACAGTTAGAAAGAGGTTGAAAGTTCTCGCTCAATTAAATGTAGCTATGTATATCAAGGGTTTATTCACTGAAAGCGATCCACAGTTATAAATATATATGTGTTGTTCTTGGTGTTTTTTCCCGTTTCGTCTCATTTTTCATTCATTGTGGTAAAATCTCTACGAACTGTTTACAGGTAAAATAATTGCTCTGCTGCTGTTGAATTAAAGTAAAACAAACCATGAAAGCAGGTATTTATTCGGATTTTATTGGCACATGATTTTTCCTCACATCGCTGTAATATTGAATTTTAGGTTTAGCCTGTTTAGACTTGCAAGCTGCGCCGTAATCTTCATGATCGGGTTTTATGTTCTGATTACAATCTATATAAGACGTTGACGTCAAAAAATTTTTGCTTTGTTAATAATAATTATTAATTTTATATTCTCAGGTCTCGTTTTTTTCTGGCGCTAACCACAGTTTTTTTGCTGTCAAACTCGCTTGTTGCGTCAAAACCAGCTTTGTAAGTCTTTGGGGATAAATAACTTCAGGCGGGATGGAATTCTCAATATTAAGATTAATACCAACAAATTGTTTTAAAAGAGCTATAAAACATCAAGAATGTAGTTTTTAGAATACAGGCAGACAGGCACATTTCGTTTTAGCTCTATATATCTTTAATGGAATATGTAACATACAGTATCACTAGTATAATGTTGCTAATAAGATGTACATGCATAGACGGAACAATTAACATGTAGCAATACTCAAAAATTTAACTGAGGAACACGTGAATCATTACTGAGAAAGACAACAACCCCTCGCAAATTTCAAACGAAGCAAATATTTCCAAAGCTACCACACCTAATCACAGGGCTAAGGCTTGTAAGCTTAAAATTGTGTAATTCGTTGACAATTAAAATAAAAACAATCGCCATATTGTATTTCTCGACTTAAGAGACACTGAACTATAAGTAATGAACTGAAAATTGAGCCGTTACCGGTTTCAGGATATTTATATATGGCGGTTGTCTCGGAAACGCCAACAACTTTGATACTTCTACGGAATGTTTCGCTACATGTGGCCAGTATTTAAAAGGTTTGTCTATAATTTATAAGTAAAAAATATTATTAGGAAAAAAGAGATTGGCAAAATTAACTCAACAGTTGAAGATCATTTAAATAGCATTGCCAGCTATAAATTATTTCTTTAAATAAAATGTTAGCAATAAATATATATATTATATATAAATATATATATATATATATATATATATATATATATATATATACATATATATATATACATATATCAATTCAAAAATATATATATATATATATATATATATATATATATATTAATATATATATATATATATATATATATATATTGCCCGCTATTTATTATTGTTTTAAATAAAATGTTAGCAATAAATATATATATTATATATATATATATATATATATAATATATAATATAATATATATAATAATATATAATAATATATATATATATATTTATATATATATATATATATATATATAATATATATATTATATATATATATATACATAATATACATAATCAATTCAAAAAAAAAAATAATATAATATATATATATATATATATATATATATATATATATATATATACATATATATATATACATATATCAATTCAAAAAAGGTTGACTATTGCAGTTATGTATTTATGTATCTTGGACATTGAGCGCGCAAAGAACTTCGGGAATTTTCATGCGAATTAATGAACCACATTATTTTGTTGCAATGCCGGCCCCATAAAGTCAAGATCTACGCTGGAGAGCAATCTTCTTAGCCGAAATATTAGATATTGAGTTAGAACAAGTGAGTTTTTATCTGCAAATATCACAGTCAACAATAAAACGTTACGTAAGAAGGTTCAGAGAATTGGGATATGTCAACACAGCTATCATCGGCCGGCTATACAATTGCATATGTGTGTACAATTGCATACAATTGTGTGTGTTGTAGCTACAGTGGTTGTTATTGATGCTGTAGCAGCTGTAATTGGCTGCTATACACGAGAGCTATCAGCTGAGCTAACTACCTCGCGAGGCAGTTACCTATACCGTAAACTTCTGCACACGAGAGAAACTTGCTGAGCTAACAGCATTGCGAGGTCTTTAGCTCAGCTAGTAGCTCTCGTGTGCGGCAGGCTTAATTTGCGTCACTGCAGGGTCGACGTTGTTGGATTATTTCGTACTTAGCTATCCGTCTCTTTCTCCAGCAATATATATGTGGCTTAGCTAGAATGACTGCTCAATGCTTATCAACGGCGGACAGTTCCACAGCGAAGTTTTCAAGCAAATACTGATTGGTATACTTTGACCTCTGTTCGTGTTTTTTTTTGTTCGATAACTCGAATTTTACAATTAATCATATGTTGAACGAAAGCAATAACATTAAATAACATCCCGTGCAAAAAATTCGATTCCATTGTGTTTGCGCACTCATGGGCTCCGTATAATACTCAGGTATTCAAATTATAATTACAAGGTGAATTTCTCCTTTTTTTGAATACACCCTGTATAGTAACTCTCCTAACGATAGCCTTACGTCGAAACTTCAAGAAATTTTCTTGTAAATCCTAGGCAGTTGCTGAACCTATTTCATGAAATGATATAGCCTGTATTAAACATTAGAAAGTTGAGAAGAAATACAGTACTAAACTTTTCCCATAAATCAATTAATATTTAAACAAGAATTGTTATTCTCTTTTTGTAGATAACTGTGGTGCACAACTTCCAAATGTGCTTATTCAGTATTTTTGTGATGATAAAGAACACGAAATGAAACACGTTATGCCCCACGGAAACTCAAAAACCAAGTCTTCGTACCGGCGGGTACTATCAAGCACCAGAAAGCGAATGAAACAGTCCATACTTGACAGGGGAAAGACAGCGAAACAAACCCTTGATGAAGTGTACTGTACATCTAGCTGGAGACGTTATAAAGGCCAGATCGATTGGCCAACTACCAAGAGGGCCCAGCGATTTATATTATGCGAGACACTCTGCAAAGAATATGCCCGATTCTAGTCCGTTGCTTGATCAAAGTAAGAAAAGCGAAGCCAAGGAAACTAGTCAACCTGCAAGTATAGATAGTAATAACCTGAGATGGTAGATAGACACATGAGTTAGTAAGAACACATTACATTCTTGCAGTTGTTGATAATTAGGAAAGATGCCAATGGACGACTTGCGCTTTAGACTAATTTTTGATAGAAGTGACTAGAAGAAAATAAATCACCACCGCTGGAAAGATCTTACTTAAATTAGTGCAGATGCAAAGTTTGGCTGCAAAATTTTGTAAAATACGGAAAGTATAGCCATGCGAAGTTGGCATATTTTGTATACTTTTGTATTACGTGCGGAAATGTGTAACTAAATTAGTTACAAACTTCCAGCCATAATACAAAAGTATACAAAAATCGTCAACTTCGCATGGCTGTATTTTCCGTATTTTACAACAACTTCCAGCCAAACTTGGCAGTTTTACTAATTTTAGTAAGCTCTTTCAGAAAATGTCCTTTTTATCGTCAATGTAAGAAATTAGTCTAAAGCGCAAGTCGTCCATTGGTGCACAGGCAGCACACATATGTATTCATTGCTTATAATTTTAATATTTAGGAAAGTCTTAAATTATTTGATGACAACAGTGTATGTGATGAAGATTGCAAACATTTAAGAGAAAAGAACGCTTCTGGCAACAATCAAACACCTAAAAAGTGAAAATGAAAGACTTCGGGAACAAATCGAAAGTAGTGATGGTAAGCTTGTTCAAAAAGATTTGTCCAACTTTTAATCAAAATGTGCCACAAGACGGGTGATCGGCGGACAATCCATGATCCTGGTGCATTAAGCTAGAACAAGCCATTTATTTTGCCTTTTCCTCACCATTCATTAGCCACTCACAAAAAGGCAATGATTTTACTGTTATTCTGATTTCATGTTTCCTAGTCTTTGGCTAATGCATTTTAATTTTCTTATAGATTTAAAAGTTTCTTTGAGAAAACTGAAGAAGTATGTTGCATCCTTGGAAGGCTTTTCAAACCAAGCACCAAAATTTGGTTCACAACAGAGCGTACGAGCATACGAGCCTTCCGCAAGATTGTCTCCTTTGACAACCATGGATCATGGAAGATCGTCTCCTATCTCATGTGTCAAGCTCATCAACCAGATCTTCTCCCACATCGATGAGTGGTTTTTCAGAATTTGCTACAGAGGAACCAACCGTAATTGCAATTAGCGAAGACAA